CCATTTATTTATAGGCAAATTTTCTTGTGCTTCATCCATACGATTCCGATGTGGGAAGTGGGAACAACTTTGGCTGTTGAAATTTGAAAGAGGCTTCTTCAGTTTCCACTTTCCACCTTCTTGTTCTTCTTCTTCCCGACGGCATCCTCATTTTCCGCTTGTGATTGGCTCAGCAGCAATAGGGGTGGCGGGGGCGGTGGTTGGAGCTCCATTGCTTCTCTCTCTCCTCTCTAAAGATTTCTTAAATTGGAGACGGTAAAAACATGTGCAAAGATGAAAAGACGGTAAATTGGAGAATTGATTCATGGCTATTGCTTGAGATTGGGTTTTTTGTTTGATAATTATGTGGGCAATACTTTGATTCTCATGTACTCTGCTTTTGATGATATGGAAGCAGCAAAATGTGTGTTTGATGAGTTTTCTTGGAATTGTGTTGTTTCATGGACAGTTTTGATTTCTGGGTATGCTAAAATTTGGGATGTTTACACAGCAATATTGGTTTTTGATGAACCTCCATTGAAGGATAGAGGGAGTTGGGGTGCAATGATTTCAAGGTATGTGCAGAATAATTGTTTCAAAGAACTATTACAATTGTTTAGGCTAATGCAATTGAGTGACATTAAACCTGACGAAGCAATATTTGTTGGCATATTATGTGCTTGTGCTCATATGGGCTCTCTTGAAATTGGGATATGGATTCATAGTCATGTAAAGAAATTGAGATTGCCATTAGTCTTAAATTGGGGACTGCTCTTATCGACATGTATGTGATATGTGGGCGGTTGGATTTAGCCGATGAAGTGTTCTGTGAAATGCCAAACAGAGATGTTACTTGGAATGCTATGATCTCAGGATATGCTATGTTCTATTGATATTGGATACTATCTGCTTTATTTGGTACTGGCTCTTCGATTATGAGAATTTTGTGTAGTTGGATTTCATTTGTGTGCTCTCAATCTAGATTGATCCGAGGCATCGATATGGGCACAGCTTGCATCTTTATTATGAAGAGTGGTGTAAGACTAATGCTGGTCAGCCCTTCTTCTACTGGTGAGAAAACTTTGAATTAATTGGATGCCATGAATTTCTGCTTTGAGCGTCTTTTGATATTGTCTAGGGTCATAGTTCTTCATCTAAGCCGGTCAAGTATATGATGTCTCATGTATAGGTGCTGTTAATGAGCTGAGTGAGAGGACTGAATGCATGATCATGAATATTTGTATTGATTATAAACTTATCTTGTAAGTTTCATGATACTTCCAGAATTTTTTTGACCAAAACTGTAAATGAAACTTGTATCAGTGTTCTTTCCTTTTCAAGTTTGTGGTAGTAGGGCAGGATTTTTATGAAAACAAATCTATAAGAACCTGTAATACTAGAGTTATTAATTTCCTATAATCTAGAACCAAAAGCATATAGAAACCAACATATCTACTCTATACAGGCTGGATCTAGGAGATGGCAAAGAAGTTGATCTCGAAGAGTGCCCAAGATCGAAGCTTCGTCAACAATGCATCAAGTATCTTGGACCCGTACGTGATCAAAATTGCATTACTTTCTGCAAGGCATTTTGTTTAACTTTTCTGTGCTTAAGTTAATATAAATGACTTGAAGCATCCATTATAAGATTGGAACATATAAAATGCTCAGTAGTTACTGATGCAGCCACTATAGTTAATAATGCAACCTTATAGTGGTATAGTGACTATATTTCTACTCTCTCTTTCTAAAAATCTTATTCTTTGTTCTGACTCTGTGTGTTTTCAATCTGGAGTTCTTAATTTTATATTTATCTTTGTTGTGGTCAGAAAGAGAGAGAACATTATGAATATGTCGTTGTTCATGGGAAAATATTGCACAAACAAACTGGAATACCTCTTGATACAAACAATGGATCGCTGGGGTTGAAATGGATATTTGTGATGAGCACCTCTAAGGGACTTTACATTGGAGAGGTAAGGTCTAAAACTAAGTAACATTACTGGTATAATCTTGCTTTTTACCGTCATCTTAAAAATATTAATTCATTGCAATATCTACATTCTAATTGCCTCAGAAAAAGAAGGGATATTTCCATCATTCCAGTTTTCTTGCTGGAGGGACTACTTTAGCTGCTGGGAGGCTCATTGTGGAAGACGGAGTGCTTAAGGTACTTTTTGGTATTTGTCATTATCAAATCTGTTGCTTTTAAGATAAATCAGTTTTTTGTATAGCTTAATACTAAGCCCCTGTTTGGTAGGAATTAAAATATTATTTTAATTTAAGTCAAAGTCAACAATTGATTTTAACAACATATTTTATGGGTTCTACAATTTTTCAACTACACATTTCAACAACTTCTATCAAAATCTACTAAAAGTTTGATTTTAATCCCCATCAAACAGGGGCTAAAAAGTGGATCCAATACAATGTTTAGTTGAAAATGATTTTTGAGAAAAATAATTTTAAACAAATCTTTGACAAACAAGCTTTTAGTGAGGCTAATGTCTAAATCAAATGTGAGCCAAGTCAAGTTTGAATCATATAATAAATTTGGAGAGAATTTATTGAAAATGACATGAGAAGTGATTGGAGCAATCCAACTTCTACGTGTACACACTTTAAATCTAACTAATAAATTTATTTCATTTTTAACAATACAATATTTTAGATGACGTCATGTACGAGGAGTATGTTTGGCCCTGCTTCTACAAAAGAAGCCGGCTCATCAACTTGTCACTCTTGAAACAAGAAAAGAGAATTTATTTTTTTGACTTTTAAGAATACGAAGCTAACTGAAGTTTGCCTGATAGATGTTAATGTCATTGGATGTTCAAAATGTATTTCCATCTGGGGGCATTTTTTCCTTGTGATTTGTTTTTAGAATATAGTTAATATTATTGTGCATAATATGAACTTTGAGTTTTCTGTTTGTGATTTTGGGTTGGAGATGACAGAGAGAAGCACTTTATTTAATTATTTATCAATTACATAAACATTACATCATTAATTATTTAATTAACAAAAAAAATTACATCTTTATTAANATTGTGAACGACATATTTTGATCATATAACGATTGTGTCTCACTATACCCAAACTGTCGATTATACAATTTATTATTTCATATGATCATGGAACCATAGATTATTGTTGCAAATTATAACACACAAATAATAAAACGTTAATTCATAATGTCGTTACAATATATTTATTATAAGAGGGCATCAAACTAACAATCTTCTTATCAATTGGGAGATACAAGTCGATATTGTCGATTTGAGTTAGCAAAATTATCACAAATCAGAAAATGCATATAAGATACATTGTTGGAAGCATTGTGCTCGGAACAAAATGGAGAATTCAGTACAGATTCCTGGAGAAGTTGGAAGAAAATAAAAAAAAGGACTCAAAGTATAAGACCTTATTTTCCAATCTTGGAAGGGAAAAAAAAAGGAGTTAGTATCAATTTTCTTAGTTTGGAATATGTTGGTTCATAGGCGGCCTGACTAGATTTACGCCTCAAGGAGAAGAGGGCAAATCTTGATGAATCTTCATTGATGATGGGAGTAAACTCGTTGGAAGATTCTACTTTGACGTACCATTGCCCTCGAGTGAATTGGGATTAATTTGATCTTGGCGATTTCTCTCGTTTATTACAACTTTCTTTACCATGGAGGAAGCTTCTCGAGTTTGAACAAACTCGACTTCGAATAGTGTGAGTGGACTGTATTTACTAGGAAAGCGATTGTTGAGTCAAAAATGGTCGAGGTTTGCAAACTGCAGTGCTATGAAAATATTAAAATTTCGAAGGGAATAAAAGAAAAAAATTTACAGGTCAATTGTTTCATCATTTAAATTTAATAAAACAACTCAAGTAGGTTGGCCTACATCGATTTGTCTGATTTTTGGACTTAACTTTAGTAGGTCGCAGGAAGGTGAATTTGGACAAGACTATTTAGTATTTACCCCATGCCATAGGAGTAGGTTGGTCACCCACAATTCATTTCTATATTTAAAACAGCTTTGTTTGGCTAAATTTAAGTAAAAAAATTATTTTCGAAGAGATAAGTTACTTGTTTTTACTGAAGTACAAAAAGAACTTTTCACAATAAGATGGAGAAGTTTCACCTAATAAATTCTAACCACCCACGCCAACCCCAACCCCACGCCCTCCCCAAAAAAAAAAATAATAATAATAACTTATCAATTTTTTATTTGATATTTGGTTTTAAGTACTTGTTTTCTTTTGAGGTTACAATAATTGATATTTATTTGCGTTTATTAAATATTTTGTGAGTTTTTGTTGCATCCTCTCTGTAGCACTGTTTTAATTTGTAAGTTTTATTCAAATAATGCCTTAAACATTTGTTTGTTGGACTCAATATGTAATAATCACGGAAATATATTTAAATTTTGTGAAAATTACATCGAAGCCTGATTTTTTTAACTTCTCATTTCAAAAATTAGATTTACAGTCTATTTATTCAAAAATCATGTCATAATTCAACATTTTAATTGTTCACGAAAATATATTTCGAATTAAAATCACCACAAGTGTACGGTTGGTTAATAAGTAATAAAGTCGATTTTGAGTCCAAGTATCGTCACACAGAGATTGATTAGTTCAATTTTAAATATTCCCGACCTTAACCGAAATAAGGATAATATGATCCCAAATTCTCATACAATAATCAATTTTAACCTTAGTTTTACACATTGACAATAGGATTAAATTTGATGAATCAATGTTCCTAATGTATTTAACAATCTCTCTCGCATAATGTTAAACCTACGTTTATATATGTCGAACATATTTTCCTTCTTTTGAATGCATAAAATATGCTACAAAATTCACACAACTAACGTACATAATAATTGTGGAGAAAAGAAAATCATATCAATTATTCAATGTCCAAAAACGTGTTTTTAATGTCAAACATATAAAATTAAAAATTAAAACTCATATTACATGATTCATCGTTCTCCTAATACATAGAAAACTAGTCTAACATGTTATGAAAGAGAAAACAAAAAGAATGCTGAAGAATCGACATCACTCAATAGAATTCTTGAATTGATTCTCATGTTCTTGAATTCGATCTTCGTGTTCTTGACTTCTTCTATGCTCCAAAAGCTCTTCAAATTATGTTATACTATGTGGTGTTTACTTCTGGACTGCCCTAGGGTTTTAAAAGGCGTCCCAAAATTTGTTTTCATAAGAATTGAAATCAAATTAGAAAATCATAAAAAAAAAAAAATTCTCAATTTGGCCTAGACAGGTGCCAAGTAGAAAATGGGGCGGTGTCTCAGACATAAAAATGGTTCTTGTTAATTCAGTTAAGAGTCGGGCAATCGCCCAACAAATATAATTAGGCGACTGCCCAGTTATAAAACTTTCGTAAATTTTCTTTTCAATCATTTTCTTCATTCCTTCTTCCATCTTGATCCTCCACATCAAATTATTACAATTTTAGTGCTTCAACTTTTACTCAAATGCATATTAGTCCCCAAAATTTCATCAATTGGCCAATATATCCTTCTTTCTTTTCCAATTGCTTATAAATGAGTCCAAAACTGAAAAAAGATAAAATTAACCTAAATTAAGTAAAATGCAATAATAAAACAATACAAAAATCTAGTAATATAACCCCAAATAAGTGCACAAAAATGCACTTATCATTAACATTAATAATAATATTATTAAATGTAATTAATCTACCACCTCCACTCCACCTACCCCACAAACCCTAATTCATTTTCACAAATATATCTTCACCCGCTTCATTTCTAGACGTCTCTTTACCCGCTCATTCTCTGACGATTCTTTATAGTGAGTGCGCCGCATGTACAAGCAGCGATGAATGCTTCGTCGCTGTGCACTAAGCCAACGATGCGGTTGTGTGGTGTTCATGGTTGTTGTATTGGTGTTTGGTGTTGAATGGGTCTTTGTTGTTGCAGTGTTGGTTGTGGTGTTTGACGACGCACTGTGCTGTGCTCGCTATGGTGTTGGGAGTAGTTTTTTCTTCCTCCTTGCTTAGCCGGTATGTTGGGATGATTTTTATTCTATTACATTAAAATATTAATTTTCTATTTTGTCAATTGTGAGACAAAATATGAACTAGTGATCTATACTTCCTTCAAGATTTCAAGTGATGCTTTCACTTACTACGATGCATGTTGCATATACAATATAAATTAGATTGATTTTGTGCAACGTTCCCGTCTCAATCACTTGATGTGAATCGATTTACAAAAAAATGTTTTACCCTAGTGAAATGAATAGAGTTAGTTTGAAGACTCGATTTTGTTCAAATTAAATGGTTGGACAAAGCTCCTCAAAAACTTAAATGAGACTCCATTTGACTATTTGATTGTACAATCTAACCAATATCAACGTGATATGAAGAAGCGAGAGTTTTAAATCTGTAAAAGGACAGTTTTAAAAATTACAAAAAATGGGAAAAATAAGAAGATCAATTGCCTTCAAAGTCCAAATTTTCAGACAAACACGAAACCAGGCTTTTTGTCGTCAAGATAAAGGGCAATTAATAATTAATATATTTGTTGAAAATTATGTGGTAGCTTAAGACATGGGTTTGTCTAATATGGAAAACAAACACAAAGTTCAATCAGCTAAGTAAGAAAATCTCCCAACACACGAAACATTTCTTATATTTGCTTTAAGAAAAGATGTATGGGTCTTGTTTGTTTGTTACATGTATGGTATACTACTAGACGGTATTAAGAAATGTTTTATTTATTATAGTATCATATTATGTTAAATTAATATTGCGTACCAAACATAGTATGTATGCAAGACAAGATACTCTTACGATAAGTGAGTAAATAGCAAGCTTCGAGGAGCCAACATTGTTCCATTGCTGACATTAATCATGATAGTCCTTGAGTCACCCTAAGTGAGGATGTGCTTAAGTCACACTTATTTTTCATATCCTATCAAACATAATTTTGAAATATTTTGAGTTTTACTAGCAAACTTACTTTTTAGCAAAGTCACTCTCGACCATCTCGCCCTAGCTAGCTAGTCCCTTTGCTACAAGTCATGAAGATGACTTTTTGAATACCAACCATGCTATATGTAAAAAATTATGGTTGACAACTTCTGTTGACAATCATGAGTTAGACAAAATCTACGCCATCCATTTTAAAAAATGTTTTTTAAATCAATCAAATAGATCTTGACAACACATGAATTATCAACAAAAATTGTTAACAATTATTGTACAAATAGCTTTATTCTTTGAATACATGCATCACTTTGTTGAGGCAAAAACCCTAAACCAGTGCCTGCAGAATGAATGCCATACATAGTCTACTTAGTAAAGAATATCACGTTTAAGCATTGTAAGAAGGAAAAACATCTTTATGCCAATATCGAAAGTTTACTTTCAGTAAATTTAACATAATCTTCACGGAAATGACAAAATTTAAGACGTATAATCTGACAGGATGCTGCGTTGAGAAATTATTTGAATATTTATATTTAGAGGAGAAAAAATTTACATCAAAATCCCAAACTCAAAGGATATGATCGAACACTATAATGCAGAGTATACAAGATTTTAACTGGTTTGTTAATACTGTCGAGTTGAGTCAATCCAACGTCGAAAAAGTAGCAAAGTACATTGCATTACAAATATAGGAGTACAAACAAAAAGTAAAAACACAGAGCAACATGCTTAATTTCCCGTCAAAGTGTATCCTTTTGTTGCAGTTAATTACCTTCTCTTGTTCTTGCTTCCCAGCAACAAAGAGAAGTAGAAGAGAATCCTAAAGAAGAATCCCCACGCAATTGTAATCCACAAACAATCCCATTTGCTCAAATCAGTAACCCCTTGCTGATGCAATATATCAGTACCTGTAGTTACACAGGTCGTGCTTGTAATCTTCATCCCTAGAGAACTGCTTAAGCCATTCAGAAGCTTCTCCTTCAAAGCTAATGGCACTGCGGCTAACGGTGTGTTGTCGAAAATCTGAACTCCCCGGACGAAACATTTTGTGGGATCTTGGAATTCGTTCTGTAGAACTGCTTCATAGGGGTATTTGACAAGGGAGATGTAGTGAAACCAAATCCAGTAAGATGGGATTCTATCCCGGGTTATGAAGAAGCCACTGAATAGAAGAAAATAGGCTAAGATTGCGACGACAATGGTGTAACCGAGCATTACGTGAGGAACAACACCGGAGAGGAAAGTGACAAAAGAACTTCCGGCCCAGAACGAGGCAAAGATTATCAAGAAGTAGAACAAGAAACCTGATGATCCACCGTCAAGGCCGACGGCCCAAAAAGTGGTTACAGAGAAGGTTAAAGAGAGGAATAATAGAGAAGGCAATGCAACTAATGAATGGGATAAAACGTAGGAGGATCTTCTGTAAGCATTGTATGCAGTTTCTCTCATGAAAATGTACCTTTCTTGGAGGAAAACAGGCAAAGCATCTGCGCAAGTGTAGAATGTTGTAGACATGGCAAATGCGAAGAATCCAAGCCTTTCTTGAACCCCTTTTGGAGAATTATCGAGGTGCCAAAACATGGTGGCTAGAATAAATCCGGTGACTAATACCGCCCCAAGTCGGACCCCAAAAAGCGCAGGCATTCTGCGCGAGTTTCTAAAGGATCTGTTCGACAAGACAGCCATTTCGATCCACAACGGGTTTGCGAATGTCGGAACAAGAGATGTTGAAGTGGCATCATTTGTAGCACCAGGAACCAACTTACCTCTGGAAATACTTGCAATGATTGCTTCTTTTAATGATAAACCATTTGTTGACATTAACATTGTTGTTTCTGAATTAGGATTGCCTGAGCTTTTCGTTTGCCAAGTTTTGTTGAATTCAACCAAACTTTTGGTTCCTCCCGGGGAGCCTTCGAGTTCTCGAATCAGATCAAGTGCAAACTCTGTCCGATTCTCGTTATCTGGTATCGGGTGCCCAAAATCTGAGAAAAACAGTGGCAGATTTGATGGAGATCCACTGTAAACAGTGTGTCCTCGGGACAGAAAGATCATTCGATCCAACAATCCAAGAATCCGATAACTGGGCTGGTGTATCGACATGACTACTATGCTTCCACTCTGAGCAATTCTCTGTAAAACCTTCACCACCATGTAAGCACTGGTTGAATCAAGCCCTGAAGTTGGCTCATCAAGAAACAGCAAAATGGGATCATGAATAATATCAGTTCCGATGGAAACTCGCCGGCGTTCTCCACCGGAGACTCCACGGTGGCCTTCATCTCCTATGACGGTTTTTGCGGCATTTCGGAGGCCTAACTGATCAATTAAAGCTTGGACTCGCATTTTTTTCTTGGATTTGGAGAGAGTTCTTGGGAGTCTGAATTCAGCAGCAAACATTAGAGTTTCTTCAACAGTGAGCATCGGGAACAAAAGATCATCTTGCATTACATATGCAGATATGACTTTCAGTAAACTGGATTCCAATTGCTCGCCGTTGAGTGTGACAGTACCTTGTAAGCTTTCTTTGGCCATTCGATTCGCCAAAGCATCGATCAAAGTTGATTTTCCCGAACCGGAGGCCCCCATGACTGCCATGATTTCCCCGTCACGAGCCTCACCGGAAATATCATTGAGAAGAACCTTCGTTCTCGTAAAAAACGTCTCTCCAGAAACTGGGTCGGCGGCGGTTGCGGGGTTCCGAACCTGGAATAAACTGGGCCACGCCATCTTCCTGCGAACTTTGACGCTGTATGTGAGATTACTGAACGACAGAACAAACGGAAGTGGCCGTGGCTCCATCCCATTTCCTCTCATTTCAACCACCTGGTGTGTTGGTGTCTCATCGCCGGTAACCTCCTTCCGCATATCTCCAAAAACTTTCAAAAGATGTCCCAACGTCGGCGATGCAGCTGCTTCAACTCCTTCCATCTCCATAGCCTCCCTCCTATCAAAAAACGGCACGCTATCTCTCGCCGGTGAAGGGGATAAGTTCTGCGCAACTACTCTTGACATTCCTTTTATATATTAATAATTTTCAACAAATAATATATATTTGTATCTATGTGCAAGATTTTTTTTCTTTGCGTGTGTATATATAGAAAGCAATCGATTTGAAGTGACAAACAGAAAGAGGAAAGGTTTAAAGGAAATCCATGGCAAGTTACAGGTTACAAGTAGGTTACTTGTGCTTGGTCTGTGTGTTTTTATAATGTATAAATTTACATAGGGGAGGTTTTATTGGTTGGATTATTTGGTGTTTTGTAAATGGGAAATAGAAGAATTGTGGAGATGGATAGATATGAGAGGTGACCTAAATTTCCTAATCTAATATCTGCACGCCTGCTTTTACTAATCAACTCACGTTCCCGCATGCCATCTTTTCGAATATGGAGTTTCAAGTAGGTGTGGATGGTAATCTACTGTTTTCTTATACGTATTCCGCCGGCGAATCCCAGCCGGCCTGGCCCATCATATTTGTAGGTTGGGTTATTCGGTTTGACCGCTTTATACTTAGGGAAAAAAATCATATTTAAGATGTATTCTTTACCTTAATTCAAAAATAAGGTAAATAGTTTAAAAATTCAAAAATCAGGTATGATTTAATTAATTAAAAATATTGATTAAATAAAGATAATAAAGTCACAGTTTGTGATTAATTGTCACATATTCATAATTATAAGTTACAGATTTATTTATTGGTCACATATCGTCAAAATTTTTGTTCACATATTATTTCGAGGTCACAGATCAAAAAATTTTACGTCACGAATTATTTTGAGGTCACAGATTTTTAAATTAGTTGG